TGTCAAAATGGCAGACTTATTACTTTCACGTTTTTTTCATTCATTTTTTACACATTTCACACCTTAGCGTCTCTATATCAACCGTCACGCCGGTCCAACTAAAGAGTCTCCATTTCATGTACCTCAGGCATAGCGGATTAACTGAAAATAATGTGTATTTCATTAAAATACCGTAAGTCTGCCGCTCACTGGCTCTTAGACCATGGTAAAACCGAAGTAGATGGTTAACCATAAATATTACAGTTATCAAACTTTAAAAATTAATCATACATTTGCGTTAGTATACTAAAAAGCATCGTATATTACTAAAAGTTTTTTAACAGGGTGACAAACGATCACACAGTACACCTGATGGTAATTGGATGCTGTGGCCCATAGACATCTAGATCTATCCTCGATCATAAATCAAAATGCAGATGCGTTGTCATCCATGAGGACTAAGATGGAATGCTTCGTTTTCAGTAAAAGGGGTCGTTTTCTACACTCACCATACGAAATACAGCAGCGTTAAGCTGCTATTTTACTCTGGTATTGTGTGAGAGCGTGGTCTTTCCCCGGTCGAACCGACCCACTCGTGCTACAGCTATCTACTAATATTGCTGCAGCATGGCTTTACCACATATACAAAAAATGTATGTTTACAGACGTGTTAGTCGTAACAAAATACCCTTTTTTTCCCTAAATTACATCACGTAGCGTTAACTCGAACTAACATAATACTGGATATAGGTTATTTCTTAAGATATTTATATTTCTTATAGAATAAGGGTCTCAAACGAGCACACAGTCCACTTGAATTTATCGTGTTAGAATTTTAAATCCCGATACTTTTTGTCCAATCTACTGCATTTCTTTCTTTCTCGAATATATTCTTTATGAAACAATGCTGACCAACGGGCACACAGTTCACCTGATGTCAAGTGGATGCTATAGCCCATAGACATCCACATCTATCCTCGAATGAGAATCGAAATACAGATGCGTTGCCAAAACTGAGGATTAAGATAAAATGCCTCTTTTCCAGTAAAAAAGGTCTCCGGTTCTCTACACTCACCATAAGAAACAGCTGCATTTTTCTGATTTTTCACGCTGGCGTTCTTAGATCGAGCCGGCCCTTTTGTGCCGCAGCTATGTAAAGCTAGCATAGCTGCAGCATGACTTTACAATGTGAAATAATCTAAAATTTACTCAATTGCTTATTTTAGTCGCCTTTAAAAAATTTTGACGTTTTAGTGTACCTCGGAAAACCCGAGCTTGAGTATGCTTATATCTAATTTTTTTTAACATTATACCTATAAATTAAGTAGTTATTTTGGCAAAATCAAAACATGTTATTTATAAATAATAGTGTTTATTATATTACAATTAACATAACATTACAAACATTACGTACAGTATTCATTATTACAATGGGTGTATTCACGGATTCCACTCTAGGTAACTTTGTCATATCATTATAAAAATTTTAATACAAGGCACATTTATTTAAAACGGAAGGCACTAGATTATCCTCTTTATTGTTGCCATTTGGTCTATTGAGGTATAAGGAAATAGCATTTTTAAATACGCAAAATATTTTATGGATAAGTCAAAGAACTGTACATCGTCTAAGTGCATAACAATAATAAAAATACTGCAAATTTATTGAATGAAACTAGTTTTTTACTGATTTTATCGCATTATAAAACGAATTTCATTCAATGTGTAGTCTTCGTGTAAATATAAGAACTTAATAATATCGCAAGTACATAATATTCAAACTGGATTTTGATATTATTACTTGTTTTTATAGATGATAATGTGACTAACAAGCCTCCAGTCCACCTGCTGGTAAGCGGATACTGTGACCCATAAGTACCTACATTTATTTTCGGTTAAAAACATAATTCAGATGTGTTGTCACCAGTAAAGAGGGTTTCCTGTTCTCGTTCACCATATGAAACACAGCAGGGTTATATTGGTATTGTTTGCAGTGTATGAGTATGGTCCTTCCCCGGTTGAGCCTACTCTTTTGTGTTGCAACAATTATATGCTTCGGCGTGGCTCTGGCTCGTGTAGTTTTTTTCTTAATAAATTACTGCTAGTTAATATCACTAACTCAAAAAAGGTTTAGGCACTACGCAACAATAATATATAGTAATTATCCAATAGTTTAAAGATAGAAATTTGTCACTTGCTACAGATTCCAAATCATGATCTAGAGAGTTTAGATAAGAATTTATCTTAAAATATTCGTATACATTTCATCATTATTATCATCATAACGATATAATCACTTTTTGTTGGTGATATTTAATTATTTTGAAATGTATGGTGTTTGTTTGGTAGCTTAAAACCATTTTAAGGTTCTAATAATACTAATCTGTGACAAATACCTAACTTTGACTAACATATTCAACAAAATACTTTTCTACCTATAATTTATTAACACTATATACAATATAATAAGGTACAGTTTAAGCACTTTGTTGATGCCTATATATTATAATTATGTTTATATAATTAAATTTCTTTATTTCTCAACCTTTACTTTTCAATTTTTATGAATTCTATTTTTTCAAGTGATACATGAACTTTATGAAACATGTAACTAGAGTTTAAAATTAAGTGCTCGCTCAACAAAAAACCCGAAATTAATATAGACATTACGTACCTTACACTAGTTTTGAAAAGTCATAACAAAAACAATAAGTTCTAAAAACGAGATTAATTTAGAGGTAGGTACACACTACGGCACAGTTTACAAAACGAAAAGCATTTTTTTTAATTACAAATACATAATAGAGATATAATCCAAATAATAGCAAGTGGCTCCACGGAGACCTGCAGTCAATTTTAAACAAAGAACACAGATGGGTTTCTCCCTTAAAGACTAAGATCAGTCAGGGGGCAGTGCATTGCTCCTTGGTTGCAAAAACTTAGGGCTGCAAAATTTAACAAGCAAATAAATTTCAATATACCCGAACTGAGTCTGTATACAAACTAACAATGTAGTTCCCTTTATTATGATTCAAAGGTATTTCACGTGTAGAATATCATTTCTAACGGCGATACATTGGCTGTACCCTTTAACTGATTATAAATAGATTTGAGAGCGATACCAACCCATACGGATTCCTCAATAAAAAAGGGACCTTCAACATATTAAATTACAAACATTACATATCTGTACTTGTACGCGTATTTGGAAACCAACATACGTGCTCTAGTGTGTACCATCCTTTATTTTACAGTTGCCTTACATCTGCTATTTAGGGCGAGTATAAATAATTTCTTCCATCAAGCCCCTTAATGGGGAACTTGCTGTCAAAGTTCGCACACAAATAAAACTCTTGTGTATCGTATAACGGTTAACACTTCAAACACTGTGATACAATACTTTGATTTTTCTAGTTCCTTCTCACACTTAGCTGGAAACTGTGTTCACACGGCCAATTCGTTGTACGGTCGCCGGCCATTGATTGGGTCAACGTTGCGCTCTGACATCCCGTTGAGCCCATTTCCAATGTGCCCACGGGAACTCAACTGTCAGAGATCTGATGACAGACGTTCTTAATTAGCTTTGTAACTTTTATATAAAACTAAAGTTATAATTGATGGCATGTAACAAAGAACTAACTGTAAGATGCATTATAGCATACAAATGCAATACATTTCAAAGATATATTGCTACAAATTAATATTTGACCACACAAGCAAATAATATTTACGAATTTTGAATCAACAAATATATTTGAGAAGTTACAATTGTATTGAAGTGTAGTGGTGGTTTATGAATATCCACTACCTCATATCGTCCCGTAGGAGTCGTAAGAGGCAAAAGGGGAAAACTGAAACAGAGATGGGCAACAGCATATTTCTTATAAAACCTCATGAAAAAAAAAACAGCGCCTGCGGTGGCCTACCTGCCAATCTTTTTTTTTTAACGTTATCCCACACTAGGATTTTCTCCTGTATCGTGGAGGCAGTTTACAAACATAAATTGTACGAGGACAAACATCCAGACCCGGAACAATTATTTGTAGGCCATACAAACATTTGTTCCGTGCGGGATTCGAACCCGCGGCCCCCAGCGCAACAACTCATTGCTAAGCCACTGCGCCACGGAGCCGTCAAATCGTGGCAACTATGGCAAAATCCCCCTAAGAGACAATGTCTGGGCGAGGCCTATGTAAAGTAGTGGACTATTATAGACCTAATGGACGGATGGAGTATGATTTTGAGTTTTAATTTTGTGTAGTTAGTTTTAACTCATTGATAATTTCTAATGTTTTCGTGACCAATTAAATTTCATCATCTTTTTCAAGTCTATCCAATTCAGACACCATCACCCCAGTGACCTGTGAGAAACGTAAGATTCGAATATGGAAGATTCCAGAAAGATATCGTGGCTTCCAAAAGGATTGTTCACCAATCATGTATTACACTCAACGATTTTATAACCGGCGTCGGGAGTAGCCTCAATGGTATGAGACGTCTGGTGCTACGATCGTCAATGTTGCAATCGTAACGAAAATGGTGTATAGGAAAAACATGCACATTGCTAAATTGTTTATTTCGGGAGGTATTTTTTTCACTTAATTTAGTGGACTGAGCAACCACACGCTGGCTAGGTTGACAGAAGAAAGTAAAAGTTGCCATTGTAATTCAGTACAAAAAACCACACGTTAGTGTTGCCATACAAAATATTAATTTAGTAATAAATTATTAGATTATTTTATATGCTTAGTTTGTACTGAAAAAATGCCAAATTCTCCTTAAAACTGGAGAGTCCTGTGCCAATATGACCCCAGCAGTGGACTTAGGCAGGTTGAATACCTTACACCGTTAATGCTGTTTCCAATCATCAATTGGTAAAACTTAGGTTTATTGTTTATAGATAGATTTTCTATCATCAATCAGCTTTGGCCGTCAACCAATAGGGTATACCGCGAAGGTGAGGTTAGCGTTTGGAATAAACTTGGAGTATGCCCCCTAGCGTTCATATATATTTTATTATTTCAATTACCCATTGTTTCCTGTTGTAACTCAAGTTTGTACGCAGGGTTGTCATATGGTGGCAGCGATGACTCCCGAGGAGCTGATGGCACAGCTGTAATAATAAGTACATCGTTTATCATACCTTAATTCTACCTTACTCTGCTAGAAAAACGAAAAAACTAATGAGAAGATGAATGAAGGTGATTTTCAGAAGATTTTTTTTATAGGATAAGGGTGACAAGCGAGCACATAGTTCACCTGATAGTAAGTAGTTGCTGAGGCCCGTAGACATCTGCTGAGGCCCGTAGACATCTACCTACATTTGCAAATCAAAATGCAGATGCGTTGTCAGCCGTGAGGACAAAGATGGAATGCCTCTTTTCCAGTAAAAAGGGTCTCCGGTTCTCTACACTCACCATACGAAACACAACAGCATAAGATGCTATTCCACGCTGGTATTCTGTGAGAGCGTAGTCTTTCCACTGTCGAGCCGATCCATTCGTGCTACAACTACAATTAATATAGCTGCAGCATGGCTCCAACAAGTATAAAGAGATCACACGTATATATATAGATCTTCTGATTATGAACATTATATTCATTATATGAAAAAAAATTAAGCTTTTTTCTTTTTTAAATAAAGAGCGTCAATCAGTTTTAAATCTATATTTTTATGTAGAAGTAAACATACGAAATACTATGCTGTTATATCACGGTGGTATTCTGTATGGGTTCCATATTTTAAAACAAAATCACTAAAAGAGGAGGGAAGAATCGCTATCAACGATCATTGGCTTTAGCAAGCAATAGTCATTGAACTTACGTGTTATAGGCACAGAGCGTGGTCGATGCCGTCGAACTACGACTAATAGAAGCAGCAGTGAGGTGAGAGCGCCGAGGGCCGCTATAACGCCGACCACCACCAGCGCGCCGTAATAGTCGCCGCGTGGAGTTCCACGCCCGCCGGCTATTGAAGATGCTTCTATTACATCTGTAACATATCAACATTATTATTATTATTTTGCACCTTAGAATATAAAAACTACAACACACATATTTATCTTTGCCGTGCCGCGACTACGTAAGACAACCAATCGCTCCATTTCGTACCGTGGGTGTCGTAAGAGACGACTATAAGAAATACCAGAAAAATCTTATGGCTTTAATCACTATATTGTTTGCTTCAGGCGTTTTCTAACGGATAGGTGGATTCCAACCCACGGCCCCTTGCACAGTAACTCATTGCTAAGCCACTGCGCCACGGAGCCGTCATTAGCTAAGATGCGCGTAAAAATTCCAATGATGTTTATTCCATAATAATAATAAGGGATATTTGCCGTAGTTGTCACGCTTGCAGGCGGGATAGCAATGGATGTATGCAATGAATGGATGCAGTTTTAATTAAGAAGACATTGCTGACCATTTTCTAGTTTGTTACCCTCTGCCGCCACCTGTTACTCCCTCTGTTACGACACCTATGGGAAGATATGATGTATTGGATATTTTTACGTCGCCACTATACTATATATTAAATCACAAATAGCGAAGGAGTTTGAGAGAAAATCAGTACGGTGAGAGGGAATTTGCAGTACGAGATAGTTAAGAGACCAAAGATTGCAATCATGGGAAGAACCCAGGTAGTGAAACTTACATTTCAAATACTCTGGAGCCTGTGGCCTGATCGTTAAGGATAGTGAATAGTGCTAAGAATTCTATGATTCCTGCGTTGTGGGATATTCAACTATTTCAGTTGAGAGCGATAGAAAGAGACGTAGTCATTCTTTTGAAAACCGAAAACGAAACGAATACGTACAGTGATTGGGAAGTCGATCCAATTTATTGACTAAGTAATTGTTTGCATCTAAGTAACACACGTCGAAAAAATCAAACATATCGATAATAAGGGATTGAATCAGCGTACAAGGCAGTAATTTTTTTAAATATGTACAGTTGTGTCTTGTGTGTGTCTGAAAGTAGCACAAACTTTACGGTTAAGATCCTCAACATGACTGCGCCAAGTAAAAGAACAGTCCAAGGTTCGGAATTATCTCGTCATAAAATAAGTTTAAATAAAATACATATTATCCTTACTTATAATATATTATAGTATTAAATAATTTAATTTTGTAAATATAATAAAAAAAATTATATCTGGTATTTTCGTAGAGGAGTTTTATATTTTAATTTTAATTATTTAAAAAAATGTGCTTGTTGGCGGACATCAAATGTCCTAGAAATATTTTATTTCTTAGACGTTTAGGTTTCTTCATGATGTTTTCTTTCAGCGCTGAGTACGTGGTGTATCACCACTTAAAATCTCAGTTAATAACTTCATTAGTGTCAGCGGGAATCCAACCCGGGCTTGCGTACTGTAAAGTTTATGGCAAGCATTTAGCACCTGAGCTAATCTACCGTAACAAGAAGTTATAGACCAGTTATAGATATTTTCTTTCTTTCTTTCCTTCTAAATTATAAGCCCTAACTATAAATGGAAGTACCCTTACTAGCAGTACGTAACTGAAAAAATAGTTTGAGTTAAACTTACTGTCTATGGGCTCAGGTGAATTCTCCGGTTTGGTATGAATTTCCACAACATTACTTGTTTTAACTTTTCCATTTGTTAGGAAGAGCTCAAGCCACACTCGGCACCTAAAACAGAAAACAATTTACACAAACATAGATTAACAAACATCTATTTTATCATTAATTCTTTCATCATTTATTACAGCCTATCCAAAGTTTACTTCTGAACATAGGCCCGTAGATTGCCTCGGTGGGGGGGGGGGAGGTTTTGCCATAGTTGTTATATTCGGTATGCGGGTCGACAACCGCAGTTTTTTTTTGTATTGTAAGTTTTATTATTCACTTTTTTAACGTGTAGCACGAATGGTTCGGCTCGACCGGAGTGGGACCACGTTCTCACAGAATACCAACGTAAATTAGCAGTCTAATGCCGCTGTGTTTCGTAAAGTGAGTATAGAGAACCGGAGACCCTTTTTACTATTGACAAATATATTTGCACTTTGATTCTTTTTTGAGGAAAAATGTTGATGTCTATGTGCCTCAGCAACCACTTACCATCAGGTGGACTGTGTGTCCGCTTGTAACTCTTATTCTATAAAAAAAATGCAGACCGTGAACTCCATAGGATACTATAATACATATACATGCGAACTCTAAATGTCGTGGGTTTGAATCCGCCATCTGTGTCGTGTACCACTCATATAACAAGCATTTTTAAGCTTACCAGCAATGGTTGAAGTGGATATTAGTAATACTAGTATGTTAAAAATATCTAAATAAACAATTCTAAGCACTCACTTGGAGTTGGGCTGGAGGCCGGTGAGCGTGACGGTGGGCGGCAGGTCGCGCGCGGCCAAGCGGAACGCGTCGTGCTCCTTCCGGGAGGCGCCGCACGCGTGCGCCGCGCGGTACACGCGCACCCAGCGCTCCGCCGGCACCGGCACTCCGTGCCACGTCAGCTCCGCCGCCTCCGAGCCCACCGCGTGCACCTCCACCGACACCGACCAGTTGTACGGGTCTGTGAGGAAATTGTTCACCTAACTTTAGAATTTACGCGCGCGAGGAAAGATATATACTTCTTAAAATAGTATACGATCGAAAAAAATATGTGCATACTTGAAATACTCAGATAAATTTTTTATCAAATGGATGTTCAAAATACTATATACTAATAGAGATAAAATAGTTATAATTTAACTAGCGATTAAAACCGGTTCCGCACGGGTGATTTCTGGATCTCGACAACAGCGCCACCTATTGGGTCCAACTGAGAATCTTAACCATCCGGGGACCCAAACAGATAAAAAAATATCAAAATTGCTTCAGCCATTTAAGAGTAGTTTACAAACATACGTAGAAAAGAAAATACATAGTATAAACATTGCCGGCAAAAGCTTTGACGTTCGAATTCTTGCTTTTTGAAGCGACAACCAATTATTTTTCAATAATTTAAAAATCATGTGAACTAGAATATTCATTGCCTGCATTTTTATTTAGATTATTTCGCACGGCTAAAGTTCGTGACAAGACTCTTCTTTAAGCACGACACTGTCAACACCCCACGTTTTGTAATAAGCAAGGTTTGGATATTTTTTAATAAAGTGTTACAAATCTACAAACTATTATACTATTACAAGCGCCCTAAACGAAACATAAGCCTAAATCACGCTATCAAAGTTCCGAAGTACTCTGATATATATTTTTTTTTTTTTTTTTTTTTTTTTTATAGGATAAGGGTGACAAACGAGCACACAGTCCACCTGATGGTAAGTGGTCGCTGTGGCCCATAGACATCTACATCTATCTTCGATTAAGAGTCAAAATGCAGATGCGTTGTCACCCGTGAGGGCTAAGATGGAATGCCTCGTTTCCAGTAAAAAGGGTCTCCGGTTCTCTACACTCACCATACGAAACACAGCAGCGTTAAGCTGCTATTTTACGCTGGTATTCTGTGAGAGCGTGGTCCTTCCCCGGTCGAGCCGACCCATTCGTGCTACAACCATAATATAGATGCAGCATGGCTCTACCACGTATAAAATATATACAGTAGAGTAGCTCTGTACTACTCCACGGAGCATGGCTGCACCTCGGATTGATTACCTTTTGCCTAGCAGGAGATCTCCCCTTTTCTTACTATGGCCAAATATTTAAAAACTTACCAACATATGGTGAAGTGGTAAACTCTACGCTTGAAGGATCGAATAGTTCTGTCACAGCTCGTGGCGGAGGAATTAACACCAGTGATGCTTCATACCGGACCCCGGGGCGCAACTCAATAAGTTCAGCCAAAGAGCGACTGTGATGAAGTAGCTCCGTCATACTATAAATGGGTGTGCCCACAGGTCGATACCTGAAAACAATATAAACAAGATTTTTTAACATGGTAGGGTCAAGTTGCCTCAACGAGTAACCTCACGTTAACGTAGAGCGTGAACACTACATCTCCTGAACGGCAGGGTATCTATGAGGATGACCCATACACGATTATCAAATCCACTACTGAACGTAGGCCTCCCGATAGATTGCTTCATAAGGGTGACACTTGCCATAGTAGCCACGGCAGGCGGATTATCAACCGCAGTTTTATTTTTTGTATTTCAGTGTTTATTACGAAGACGCTGCCACTCGTCTCCTGGTTTGTTTCCCTCTGTCGTCTTTACGACACTCACGAGAAAATGTGGAGAAGTAAATATTCTTACACCGCCCTACTATAAAAAAAAGTATCTGTTTACACGATATGTGCACCGCACTTCTATCAATTCATAAAATCAAACTATAAAATACCACTTATGAACATAGGCATCACCCATAGTGTCACACATTTTAGATTTTGCCATAGTTGCCACGATTGACAGGTGGATTGGGAGCCTTTGTTATTTTTTTATAATTTTTATTTTAATTATAAGAAAGATTCTGCAACGTACCGCACTTGAATGCCATCAATGAACTCTAGTTCATCTTCGTTAAAGTGCCTCCAACTGATATGAGCCGTTGTGTCGTTTACATCCACAACTGCCAATCTGCTATCTATTTCGCGCCGCTTCTCTTCTACTGGTGGTACCTGGAATATACATTACATGATAGTATTAGCTTAGATGAACTTGTATGTTAGTTTCTTTTAGTTTTTTTCTCCACACTAGAGTTATTTCTTTAACCTTTCTTTTACAAACGTGAATTGTACATAAATTTAACATTAAGCATAGTATGCTATTCTAATCGATGTTCGGTGCGAGATTCGAACCTACGGTCCCGCAGCACCACAGCTAAAATCTTAGTCACTGAACTCAGCTGAATTATCTTATGGGTAGATTTTTTTTGCGATTAATCATTTTTCTATCAAAAAATCATAAGAGTAAAACTTTTAAAGACAAAGTGCACTAAATAGGTAAGATTTAGTTTATTTCAGTTGTTTTTACTGCTTTCTAATCAGCGCTTAATAGTACACTTCAGTTAGTTAGCAGTAAATGCGCCTCTCTCATTGTAAGATTGGCCTTGATTGTTCCGCTTGGTAATCAATCGCAGTGCCAGACGTCTCACACATTTGAAGCTCTTTCCCGTCTCCGGTGATTTATCTCGTATTTTACGTCCATAGTAAATGGATGTTAATACAGCCATCTATCAGACGTCATGAGAATATATTTAGCGTTTCCCACAGTTTAAAAAAAATACTAGCAATTCTATTGACATTACTAAAACTCCTTTTAAGCACATTTGGTAAGTTTAAAATGTTTGTGTTAAGAGTATTTTATGTCCGGCGTAAATGTAATGTTTGTAGCGCCATCTTTCGGAAGCTATGAAATCTACTTAGCATTTCCCGTAGTTGCCCTGGTATTGCTCTTAGGAGACTTACTATTACTATAGGAGACTAAAATTAGGTGATGGATATTTTTTTTACAGAATAAGTTTGACAAACGAGCACACAGTCCACCTGATGTTAAGTGGTTGCTGTGGCCCATAGACATCTACATCTATCTTCGTTTGCGAATTAAAATGCAGATGCGTTGTCAACCGTGAGGGCTAAGTTATAATGTCTCTTTTCCAGTAAAATGGGTCTTCGGTTCTCTACACTCACCATACGAAACACAGCAGTATTAAGCTGCTATTTTACGCTGGTAATCTGTGCGAGCGTGGTCCTTCCCTGGTCGAGCCGACCCATTTGTGCTACAACTATACTATTAACATAGCTGCAGCATAGCTCTACTACATAAAAATATGCCCTACGCTACCACCACACGCCAATGAAAATTAAACTGGGAAATATTATTATTATTATTACCGTGGAATGGCAGTGTAAGAATATCTACCACCCGTGGGTGTCGTAAGATGCGAGGAAGAAGAAGGAGGGAAACAAACCAGATGTTGAGCGTCAGTGTACTTGAGAGAGCCATGCTGCAGCTATATAATAGTTGTGGTACGAATAGGTCGGCTCCAATGAGGAAAGGCCACGCTCTCACAGATTACCAGCGTATTATATGTTTTGTCTGGTGACTGTAGAGAACCGGAGACTATTTTGCTGGATACGAGGCATTCCGTCTTAACCCACAGGGCTTACAAAGCATCTGTATTTTGATTCTTAATCGAGGAACAGATGTAGATGTCTATGGGCCACAGCATCCACTTATCATCAGATAGGTTGTGTGCTCACTTGTCACCTTTTAAAGACACCTTTTTTTTATAGAATAACTATAAAAAGAAACCGTATTTCTAATAACAACTAGAAAATTGTTGCCAAGCCGTGCCAAAAGTGGTAACTATGCCAAATATACATCTTATGAGGCAATCTATGGGGAGGCGCTTGTTCAGCAGTGGATAAGCTGTTAAAAAGATATATTATTGAATACCTACCGTTGGTAAATCTAGTGTGCGAACAGTAAATATGTCGCTTTCTGGCTCCACTGGTAGATTATGTAAGTACAATTTTCCACGTATTTTGTATGTAGTCGAAGGTTTCAAGCCTGTTAGCCGGAAGTCCAACCTCTGAGTGCCGAGGATCTCATCAGCTGGCGCGAAAATTTGAGAGTACCAATGTGAGACATCTTCATCCCTGTCAACAAAAGACAGAAAACAATATTACAATGGTGTTTTTAAATTTCATCATAAAGTTAAAAGATTAGTCCGCCGCGCTGCTCTAGTGCGTGTCGGTGACTTCACACATTCTTGAAATGTTTTATTCCTCAGACAAGTAGGTTTCCTTACGATGTTTTCCTTCACCACCGAGCACATAGTCAATCGGAACTTAAAGTTGATAAACTTGGGTGCGAGGAAGAGCATTAAGACCCAGAGCTACTACGGCTTTTTACAAGTAGACACTATGTACTTAACAAATAAATTATTTCATTGTAATAATTTGTATATGAGGAGTCATCTATAATGACACAAAAACATTAAAACTTACGCTGTATCTGTGTATCGTAGATCGACACTTCCCCGCAATCCAACCAACACTGGCGGTAAGCCAAAGATCATTTTAATACTTGTTGCGGAATCAGCTTGCAATAGTATAACCTTTAGCTTCTTATTGTCATCGCCATAAGCAGGCGGCAACGGTAAACCAGGTGGTAATCCAGTAAAGGTAGGATCTAAATTTAAAGGTCGATGGATATTATTTTGATCGTAGTCTGGAATATCTTCTTGAGGATAACGGTTGTCCGGGATAACAGTAGGCAAGAAAGGTTCTTGGGGACGAGGTAATTTAGGTGGGAAACCTGGTTGGGCTATTGGACCTGAAAAATATGAAATCACTGATGAGATCAGATATTAAAGTATATAGACATTAGGATTATAACATTCTAAACGAGAAGTAACTTACCCTAGACACAAAAATGTTATTTCTTATTATTACTGTTAATACAATAGTTATGAATGTTATTTAGTGAATAATATGAGTGCTTTCAGTAACAGAACATTCAGTCTTTAAAAAAAGGTTCTAAAGAGGAGTAGACGATAAGAAGGGCTATTATGGTGCAAGTACTAATGTAGGTACTTAAAATATTATATAGATTTTCTAACTACATGTGAATTTAAGGTAAGAAGTCATTTTTTCACGTGCTTGAAGTCAGTCGTTTGTCAAAAGTCTTTTACTTAAACTACAAACACAAAAACGATATCTAGGCAAGGTCACTGACCTGCCGATTGTGCCCCTAAGTCTTTATCAGCTGATCGTCCAAGATTTCTGTTCACTTCTGATTCCACTTCCATTTGGGAGAGCATATGTTCCAGGTCTAGTGTTGAATAACTTTTGTCTGAAACTTTTGGAAGCTTAGCAGTATTGCTAGGGACTTTTTGCATATCTGTTATAGCTTCGGGCAAAACTCGAAACAAAACGGTCTCATATGGGTTTGGTGCTTTAGTCAGTACATGCACATTAGTTTGCGGCCAGGACTTATTATTTTTTCCAGTATCTGGAGGTCGGACAGGTTTTAAATCTTTGGTTCTCAAAATAGTGACGTGCTTTCCATGTGATCCGTGGTCGTGACGACCATTTTTGTACGTTAAAGGATTAGGATATTTTCTATGATAATCTGAGGATTGGTTATGCAATGGTTCGAAAAAATCCTTAGCAGGTTTTGCTCTTTGGGTTGTGGTTTTAGTTTCGCCAAAACCAAATGGTATGTGACTTGGAAATTTCTTATCGTGAGCTGGTAAAAAAAAATTTAAATTATGTGATTGTAAAAGGGGGACTTTACTAACAGACTCGTGCATTTGTTTTATAAAAGCATCATGAGCGGTAAGAGATTTTGATTCTAATATATGATTATTCTTAGACTGTTGAATCAATTCATGCGTTTTGCTATCGGGAATGACAAAATTTATATGGGTTGGTTGATTTTGAATTGGGACAGGTGCTACAGGCATAGATTTAGACGGTTTCTGTGGGGTGTCCCAATTAACATTAATGCTCGTTACAGGGTGTATTGGTTGGAGGAATTTGAAAGGTCTATGTTTAAAGTCATTTGGATTGTAATCGGTCAAGTTATCACCCTTGATGTATTCTTGTGAATCTTGTTGGTAACGATGTTCTGTGTCACCAATTATTGGACCTGGGGCTCGTGGTGACGCCGCAGGTTTATTTGTCTTAGGTCTAGTCTTCACTGGGCTTAAATGTCTAAAGAAGTCTGTGGTCTCTGTCGTGGCAAGCGGTGTTGGCAGTACCGATGTAGTAAATGTCGGTAAAACAGGTGCAATGGGCGTCACAAAATTGAGCAGATGCATTTCGTCATGCGATGGTAAAACATGCGTATGATATTTGGATCCATTCTTGTATCCGGCTGCAAGCAATAATGTGGTGATGAATGAACTGTGATCAGCGACCATGCAATGAAATACGTATGCATTATGAATAAAAAATTTGGTGCATTAATACAAACTAAAAATATTAAATATTCAAATACTTTTAGATCTATTATCGTATTAAAAAGCGATCTAAACATAAAAATACTCTAAAATGTATTAACGAAATCACTAATAATCTACACTACTAAACAACTAACGTTATCTTACATCTTTCGTCCCTTTTTAATGGCTTAGAGCCCTCAGTCCACCTCACAGAACAATAAAAAATATTGTTATGTTGTCCACCTGATGCTGTAGCTCCTATATAACTACCATTTATGCTCGATAAACAATCAAAATGCAGATGCAATGTCACACTTAAGGTCTTCGGTGGGATGTCGCGTTACTTATAAATATTTTCGTCAATAACTATTTACAACAGCAGTATAATATTAAGGTGTTTTACAATGGTATAATATGAAACCGTAGTCCTGCCCTAGTCGAGCGGGCCCATACTGCAGCTATAAGAATGCAATATTTCTGCAAAGCGATTGATAAATTCAAAAGTGAACTAAACTTATTTGATAACTATAATGGAAAATTTGACAAGACCTTTGAATAGTTTTTGTCATTAATACAAATGTCTTAAAAAACGAAATATTATTACTTCGTGTACTAAATGCACATAGATAAGATTTTTCGCTATATATATATATATATATATATACATATATATATATATACGATATTGATATAAGTACAGAAGTAGATTCATTTCGTGCGATATTATTATATTATTGCTTTATATCGGTTTGAAGAACTTTATTTCTAATCGAGACAATTGTCACTTACATGAAAATCACATAATAATTAAAATATACAAGTTGTTCGTCATACCAAGAAACACGTCCTAAATATGTTGGTGGTCTAAGTTAAAAGAATTTATAATTTAGTATACTTAGCTAAATATAAGCTTTAAAGCAATACGTAATAACATCAAAATGCAATGTAATAGTTCCTTGAAATAAACTCAGTTGCTAGTCAAATAATTTGATACAAAACAAACATTGTAGTTTTAACTATGAACATATTTTTTTTAAATGAATATGTTTTTAAAAAATAATTTTTATTGTTTTTTGTGGTTTTTATCTGTAGAAATATGCCAGCCCCATCGTTCCCTACATAATAGACTCATATCTGAGGATTTGTGACTAAAAGCTCATAAAACATCCTAGCGAGAACTGATGCAGATATCGAAAATATAATCTGGACCAGTCACATGGCGTTGTAATTAATTTTAGTTTCTTCGTCAGCGAGAAATAAAACAAAATTGAACATCTTACCATTCGGCAAACAACCCCATTGCTTGCAGCAATCTTCATCCGATATGTTGACAGCAGCTGGCCGATGATTTAGAGGACACCGGAGCGACTGTGGAGGCAACGCCGGTAACGGTGAGCAGACTTCTTGACAATCTAATTCACCGTTTTCGCAGAAGCAGCGTTGTTCACAACCAGTGAGTTCAATCGGTACCTCACTCCAATTTGGTACTCTGAAATAGTTTGATAAAATAGTCTTAGTTTCATGTGTGTTTATGTGGTCCAAATTAAGGTCCGAGCCAACATTAAAACAATATTTACACCAGGCTTTTAGGAACAACGGCTATGGTTCCAATAATATTCTTTGTGTTTCTGTGAATATATTCCCATATTTATACAATATCGCATACAATTTCCGTCCAACTTAACTATTCATTTTAAAGTATTTTTTTTTATTTACGCGAACAACACGCATTGGGTAATACTACTTTATCGGATTTTATCGCTTTTAATTTTACTTATTTTTAGTTCCTATCTTCTCGGGTGCTTGGCAGCATCCATGGTCACGAGGAAATTAAAACTAAACCCAAGCACAACACTGCAAGAATTCAAGACACAGTAAGCTCATTCATCGCAGATCGGACCAAATTTAATAAATAATAATAAAAAAGCTAAAGGTACTCCGGGTTAACTTCGACATCGGGACGTCAATCATCTCAGTCCGCCGTGACTTTTTAATATATTTATGTAATTCTATAATTAGTTATTTTTATAAATGTCAAAGCTATAATATATCACTAACATATACAGTGGTAATTTACTTCTAAAGATGCACAAAAAGTATTCAACAGGAGCGATAACTAAACAGAAAATAATAAAATATAATTTATAAACTTACGCAACGCCCTTGTAATGACACGTGCCGTCACTCAAGCACCTTGCACTTCTTGGGCAACAATTAGGCGGCTGGGCCGGTGGACTGGTGGCCCACCGTACACACCCCTTTGACACCAGCTCCAATCCGACGTGAGACGGGCACACCAATGCAGCGCACTCCCGAGTTTCTGGACCCGTACATTCACATAGCTCTGTGCAGCCGATGTGGAATTCCTCGCCTAATTTTAACACAATTTGGAAATATTGTATATAATATAATATACAATATATAATATAATAAATTAATATATTGTTAGACAATTTCAAAATTAGGGGAGATCATCATCGCTTTATTGTTTGTATATTTCACGATATATTCGTCTGTGTATACCAATTTTAATGATTATTTTTCATTAAATAAGTACTTCAGATGTGTTTTAAGGATAAATAATACTTTATTAATATATATTGTTATGTATAATAATACGCAAAATATATTGAGGACCTAATAGCGATTTCTGTGTTTATTACCAATTATTCGGCCGTGATAATATGTGTTTGGTAAGTAATCTTTACCACTTAGCTAAATAAATTGGGTATTATATAAATGATAGAGAGAGCGAAAATACCCAAACAGTGACCATGCATTTTAGGACCAATTTGCACCGAGTGCCGATCAAATGATTGGGTGAGAATCTCGGATAAACTAATACATTTTGAGATCGTGGAATAGATAGATTCGTAGCAAATAAACTACTTAGTTCATCTGTGTCTTTCGTTCTTGAACTTCCCATGTCTAGTTTGGGACAGTCCTTAGTCCACTCAAAAGAGTAAAAAAAAAAATTTTAATAAAAAGTAAAATAATTTTACATTTTGAACAATACATTTTCAGTTACCGAGATCTTTGATGTCGGCTTTTACTTATATTGTGTATATTATTGTTATTGTTATTAAAAGTTTAATTAAAGTTTTTTTTTTCGCCATTTATCATAAGCTTTACAAACAAAAGGTTTTGTGAATTTATTTTTCTATATAGCCATGATCATTTAATATATTATATAGTTCTTTAACTTTTCATTTAAATCATGGGTACGTTTCTGAATATATTTCGCATATCGTGGAAATATATATATATATATATATATATATATATATATATATATATATATATATATATATATATATATATATATATATATGTATATAAAATGAATTCACATCATCGGATCTGGTTCAATTATATATGGGAATACTTTAAAGGTAAAATATTCCTTTTTGTCATGAATTAACGATTTTTGTTTACTTATAGACGATTTTTAAATGGCCATTATTATACTTTTTTTTTTTCAATTGATAAATGCAGTCTAATTAATAAGCTCAAGTTGACTCATCACGGACGGTTATATATTATATACAACACAAACACACACGAACACTCACTCCTGTCACTTAGAGGGGTAGGCAGAGACTACAGACTTCCATTTGGCGCGAAGGATGTTAAAAAATTACATTATTTTGGTACACAGCTTGTTATAAATTTTAATAACGAATTAGTTTTCATGTAACTGAATATCAAAAATAAAATTATGTTTACAAACCAACAGCATATAATTTTCCATCTTGATGACATCCTATTTTTATCGAGCTTACTTCTTCCTCAAATTGTACCTCATTTGCCGCAGCGTCTGTCGCAGTTATAGTAAAATTGAATTTCGTTCCAGTTTCTTTTGTTTTCAAAATGTAATCTTTCCCGCCTTCAAGATTGAGAATCAGATTAGTATATTTCAGTTCTACATCTTTAAATGTACGGCCTCCATCACTGCTCAGTAACAAGTGGATCGGTTCTTCACTATTGTTCATATGCATTAAATTCACTTGTACACTATTGTTCTGTAACACTTTTACTGACCCAATGGGCTCAGACAAATCGAATGGTCTCATTGTTGGTCTAAATGAATCATCTTTGAAATATATCGATCTTCCTGTCTGTAAAAAGATAAAAAAATAAACATCAATAAACATAAACCTGTTTACAACGTAATATACGTTAATCCCTGTTTTTATCCAAGGAAGGCTTTAAAAATTTTAAGCTGAATAAAATCAACAAAGATATGTTTTGTTAAACCAAAATGCATTCACCTTCCATCCACGAAAATATCAATATCAATAATTCACAAGTATACTTAAAATTATGACGTTACGAGAATGTTTATATAAAAAGGACTCTTTTAAACCAGTCTCAAACGTATGATTGAAAAGAACTTGTCGCAATGAACTCATAGTCCACAATTTTGCTAAGCTTTTATTACAATTAATCTAGTTCAGGAAAATTTTAATGTTTACGCGACAAAGTCAAAATTTAATAATAATTTGTTGTTTATTTTTTTCTCCAATGTTTTCTTGTGTACAATGAAGTGAAGAAGTAATTAGTTCATTCATTCAAAAGAACAAAACTTGTTTTTTTATTAAATTAAAGCAAATTTTAAAAAATCCATAATACCTCAGATGTATTTTCAGAAGACGACACCGTGGTTGTAGACGAACTGCTTGGAGATTTGTAAGTTGTAGACGAAGTGCTTGGAGATTTGTAAGTTGTAGACGAAGTGCTTGGAGATTTGTATGTTGTAGACGAAGTGCTTGGAGATTTGTAAGTTGAAGTTGTTACTGGCGTGGTACTAGTGGATGTTGTCGAAGTTGTTGTACTAGTTGACGATGACGAAGATATTGTTATATTTTCTGGTTCTTCGTGCACATCTGAAGATACGTCGCATACTTGTACTTCACAACATTCGTCGTTGGGATCTTGTACATTGATACATTTATCAGACAGTGGCAGCCGATTGCACCTGTCAGATACAAATCAGTCAAAATATTACAGATACAGTTATTAAGTATCAAAAAATATGGTAAAACTATCATGTTTTCGTTGCACAATGAAGAAGAATTACTTATAATTCTAAAACTATGTTTATTTCCCTTCCTTTTTTAGTTACAAAATTGTTTACCTAGGTTTGCAAGTTACTATAGAGTTGCCTTCACAAATACAGGTTTGTTCACAGCCGATATGCCACTTCGCTCCAACAGGATATGTCTCGTTTCCGTATCTACACATTTCAATTGTTGTTGACTTGGGTTCTGAAAGTGTAGTGCCAATTATGTATAATGATAACAAATCGAACCTCCGTAGTTAATTGTATTAAATGAATGAAAAAAAAACAATAAATACAGTTTCCTCTGCTTATTAGTAATCAACAGTATAATAATAATCTGTTTCTGTAAGATTCTAAATAATAACAATTAATTGAACTTTAAAAATTAATAAAAGAAATTTATAACAAAAACCCACCCCCAGTGCCTGAGGCACAAGCGATAAGAGAACAGCATTCATCAACAGGCGACTCAAAACAAAGCGGATCGTTGAGCCTCCTTCCTCGGCGTATGTATGGATGTTTACAACGCGGCGAACAGTCAAACACACCGGTAGCAGTGCACTCACATGTTTCTTCACATCCTCGATCAATGTGTTCGCCAACCTTAATTTATAAATATTTGGAAAATAAATACTATTGCATTTGATTGCAAATTTAAATATTAGTGTATATGCTAAAAGATGAGGTATCTTAATATCGACTAATTGACTGCCTCATCGGCCTAGTGCTTGTAAGCGCAACTGCTAATGATGTGGTCCTGGGTTCGAATCCTGCTTTGCGTATATGGCTTGTCTCCTTTAAGACTGGCCACTGTTTCTTATCTTTATACTATTATACACAGTACGTCATTTCTACTCTTGAAACTCGACAATATTTGAAATAGTTGTATTCAGTTTGGATATTATTCGTGTAATAAACATAACTATACTTAGGCTAGTAATTTACGACTGTTGTTATTACTTAATTCAAAATTTCAACGAAACGAAAATTTTATTACACTTATATATATATTTTTATAAGCTAACTCAACATCAAGAGTTCTAAGCTAACATGTGAGAAAACAAGATACGTTGAAAATCGTTATGGTTATGGTTATATTGTGGGATTGTATATTACGATTTATTGAAAGAATGATTTTGTTCGTACACTTTTGTGATTTTCTGTTAATTATTTAAAAATAGGTAATGTTTATTATTGTAGTATTGTAATGCGTTTAACTGACCTTGTACATTATTTCGTTTTCTTTGCACATTTCCATTTCATCCGATCTATCAATGGAAAGCAAGGGATTAAATGGAATTTGGAGGTTGCTGTAAAACTTATCAGATATATCTTTGTTCTTAGGTCCACTTGTAATCAATCTTGGTGGTTCTTCATCTTCATCTACATCAAGAGATACCTCACTTAAATCTGCAATTACTTTTTTATGATTTTGATTACTTTGATTATGTAGCGCGTTTGCAAAACTTTGTAGTTCGTCGACACTTAAATCAAGTAATCTTGGTTTCGGTTTTAACATAGGATCATTAATCTCAGACATTGCTGTCGTTGTATCAACATCTCCTTTCGAATCTGTAGTTGAAACTGGTGCTGACGTAGATCTTGTGGGCGATGTAGTTGTTGTTGTAGTCCTCGAGGTTTCTGGAAATACCTTTGTGGGTACTGTAGCGGATGTGAAAGCAAACGGTGGCAGTGTGAGGTGCGACAATTGTTGTGATGCGATAGCCTCTTCATCTTCACCACCCATTTTACCTGAAATAAATAAAAATAAAAAGATTAATCATACATAACTGTTTGTTTTGTTGCGAAATTCAAATTTCAATAAATAAGTGCATACACAAGTATTTAAGCAGGTATGGTGATGGTTCGCAATACAGTAAATTTATTAACTAATTAATCAGTACTTCATACATGTCACAATTTCATAAATAAACAGACAGACCGACAGACAATTCTAAAAATCATAGAAATGTATTTGACTTATTTTTAGTCCCTCTCAATCAATTTTGTGTCGGTATTAAGTACCATCAGGTAATTTAAATTTGCTATATTTATTAGTATCCCAAATTTTATTCAGCTTACCGATTAAAATAAAAAAGAAATGTTTTAATATTTTAAAAATTTACACAAATAGATTTTTGTATTAACAATACACTCTCTAAAGAAAGTTTCGTTTTTACAGTTAGTAAAAAGTATAATTCTATTTACAAGTGTGTCAATTACCCTATTCGTCTATCATTCCAATTTTCATTACACCTATAATAATATAAGACAGAAAGAAATACTATAATGGTGTTATGAATCTATCTGACACGAAAAAACACGGCAGTCGCTACTACAAGGTCACTCTATTACCAAGTTTAAATATTTTATTAAACAAAAACTGTATAAAAAGGGTTATTATAATATAAATGAATACATGGTTGATCTCTGGGAAGGAGGTGGTCGCTTCCAAGCTGTTTCTAAAATAAATTTTGTAAATAGTTTGTATAAGTCCCGCTCGGTTTCTTGCTGATTTTTCCCAGGACAGAGGTTTTTATTCCGAACCAGTAGTAAAGTAAAAAATGACTTTCTATAAGAATTACTTGTAATCAATATTGAATAAAAATCATTTTATTCTATTCTATTCTACGCTATTTATTTCTACGCTATTGCTTTTATAACACTACTGTGTGCGTTGCAAGACTCGTATATGAAGGTTTCATACTGGTGGAGTCGGGTGTGGAAAGCGTTCGATGGAGAGTGTGGCATGGCGATGGGTGTTTCATACACACCTCGAGGGGTAACACTAGGCACAGTCTAATATAATACGGCACAGTCGAGCGGGTAACAATAAACACGTCCCGCCTTATTCCAAAACACGGACTTAATATAGTACTGGAGTTAGTAATATATTTAAACCATAAACTAAGAAAAACGTTATTACAAAACGAAGATTATCTCTGGTTCAAGGATTATCTATGGTATTAAAGTTAATCTTTCGAGACCCCTAGTTTAGCTATGGTACTAACCTTTCTATATAGTTTGTGGTACTCTATACTAACCTCAATTTCGGTACTTCTTAATTTGAGGTGAGCGTTGTTTTCATTTGGTGTTATTAAAATCGTTAAAAATGGATATTAACATGATTGACTTGATGGATTTAGAAGATTTGGACATGCTAGACACCACTCGGCGACCTGATAGACATCGACATCGTGTGAATCCGTATGAATTGAGTGACGAAGATTTTAGGTATAAGTATAGGTTCTCAAAACGTTTCGGAGAAAAAATAGTGGGTATCTTACGTGAGGATTTAGTGCACGACCCTCGAGGATGCCCATTGAGTCCTGAAATTCAAGTGGTTTGTGCATTACGCAACTGGGCTCGCCATGAAGTAAGTGCTGTTTATAATCTTGGTGGGGTCAATGTACCTAACATTACGCTAGATAAAAAGCCAAATAATACATATTATTGTTTTATTCGTAGATTCAAGACGATACAGCTGATTTACATGGTGTGTCTCAACCAGTAGTAAGTAGGACATGTAAAAAAGTAGCGGAAATTTTGTCACGGAAGCCCTGAGAATTTATTAAAATGCCTACTACTTTAAATGAACAGCAGGAAACCATTAGGAAATTTCGCAGTATTGCTAATTTTCCTACAGTAATTGGCGCAATTGACTGTACTCACATACGAGTAAAGAAAGTGAATGCTGATGGGGGTCAGTTATATATTAATAGAAAAGGATTTTCTTCAATTAATGTACAGGTAATATACAAATATTTTAAATAGCTGTGATTGTCTCTTAATAACTTTACTTTATCATAATAGAAAATAATTTGTTTGACTATCTTATGGTAATAAATATATATTAAAATAAACCAGAAAAACATAAAGTACTAATGAGCTCTTATTTTACAGGTGGTTTGTGACGCTGACCTGAAAATCATGGACATTGTTACCAGGTGGCGTGGTAGTGTACATGACTCCAGAATATTCCGAGAATGTAGACTAAAACAGAGGTTTGAGGCTGGTGCATTCTCTGGAATATTACTTGGTGACAGTGGCTATGCTTGTACCCCTTACCTATTTACACCGCTGCTGAACCCCACAACACCACAAGAAGAAAGATATAATAGGAGCCATATCTGTACCAGGAACACAGTGGAAAGATGTTTTGGTTTGTGGAAGCAACGGTTTCGTTGCCTATTAAGAGGTATGTTTGGAGATATTGAAACAGCAAAAAAAACAATTGTTGCATGTGCTGTACTACACAATATGGCCATCGACATGAGAGAAGATGTGTTTCCTGGTGAGAGAGATAGCATTGAACAATATTCATCTGAACCTATAGTACAAAGATATATTGCACCATCAATAAGGGGAAATATTAGAAGAAGACAGTTTATTGAAACTCATTTTCAGTAGGTAAACATTTTTTTTTTACATATTTATATAGCTATTTATAATTAAAATTAATAATTATATTTATAAAATTGTCAATTTTTTTTCAATTGTCTAAAGCTATGTATATATAATTTATTTTATTTTGTTATTCAGAGGCCAATTTTGGCTATAAAATTACATTAAGGATCAATAAATGTATAAGACAATTATAATAATATTTCTTTTTGATTTCAGAGATAATACCCATTTATAAAGGAAAATATTTCTGCAGAGCCGTTGTCAGCTGTCAAAGAATAACGACTACATATTCACCAATATGAAATAAATTCAGGGTAGTATTGTGATAATATTTCATTTATTGAGCAAAATGCTTTTATTTAGGCTATAAATGATTGTGTTTCAGGGAAAGATGCGGGGTACAGCACATTCCACATCAATATGAAGCTATATTATATAAAGATTTAAGTGCTTTAGAGATATGTTTAGATTTTTTAATAAATATCGTCCCTCCTCTACATTCACAGCCGGATTTCCTTTCCAGAGGTGCACGGGTCCACGGGGAGTAGGACTGTATGATGACTAAGTAATTAGGTTTAGTTTTTTTTATTATAGTTTTTTACTATTGTATATTATATTTCACTGTTATGTAAATAAAATGCATATTAATTATAATTATTTATTTTAATTATTAATAAAAGATGTACAAATATTTGCAGCAATTTAGTACCTGAAAATAATTGTTTCATATATGAGGATATTTACAAACATGTATCTGATATAGTCTCAAATATTTAGTTTTTTTATAGGATAATGGTGATAAAACACAGTCTACCACACACACATACACACACACAGTCCATCTGATGTTAAGTAACTGCTGTGGTGCATAGACGTCCACATCTATCCTCGACTACAAATCAAAATGCAGATGCGTTGTCACCCGTGTGGAGTAAGATGGAATGCCTCGTTTCCTGTAAAAGAGGTCTCTCTCATACAAAATTTGTACAAAAATTTATCCAAAATTTGTCAATAAACAAGTTTAAATGTTTTATTAAAGAAAAATTTTATAAAAAGGTTATTATAATATCAAAGAATACATAAATGAGAATATTGGAAATACTGGAATTGAGGTGATCGCCACCATGGTGGTTCTATTAAAATTCATTTAAAAATTGTACAAATAAAATTATTGTTAAGAGAAATATGTTTATAAAAAAGTCCCGCTGGGTTTCTTACTAGTTCTTCCCAGGACTGAGGTATTTTCCGAACCAGTGGTAAATAAAAAATGTCTTTCAATAAGTATTCTGTAATAATCTATATTTAATAAAAATCATTCTATTCTATTTTCATTCTATAAACTCACCATAATAAACACAGCAGCATTAAGCTGCTATTTAACTTGTGTTTTTCTGACTTTCTAATAAAAATATTTGTAACTCTAATTTTCTAATTTTTAGGTTAGCTATTTTAATATTGTATTTATGTTCCTCTTCCATCATTTCCAGTTGTCTTTTTTTAAAATCTGTGTTACTTTTTACAATTGTTTGGTGTACATCTTCTCTTCTGTAAAATGAAATGGAATACTTAATGTAAGTTTTGTAGTTATTTTAGAAATTTACAAAGTATTCTAGAGTAATAAAAGTGCACTTAACCTTGTACACCAATTAAAGAAATATTTTTTAATTATTTTTAAATCAATTCATATTAAACTTTGCTTTTAATATTTGAAAACATGAAACAATTTTCAGTGTTTAAATACTAATTTTCACATTTTAAAAAGTATGTAATGTATCAGACTATGTAATTTTTTCAACATACCTATTTTGCAAGCTATTTTTCCTGTTTTTAATTTTTGTTATACCCCTAGTAATAATATCTTTATTGTTGGTTATTTTCACCATTTTGGCACTTTCTTCTGTATTTGTAGTTGGATCTATCTCTAAAAATTAATATAAATATAACAGTTTTAGAAAATTAACATTTATAATATTTACAAACTTGTATGCATATGATTGTAACTATAATAATAATATATTTTGCTTTTTAATAAATATTCAATCAGTATTATTTACCTTGCACATATACAACATTGGGTTCTGGATTTTCTACATTTTTAACTATAGCTGTGTCTGTTTTTTCAAAATTAAGGCGAGGCTTAGGGTCAGCAACTTCTTTTGATGTTGTAGCCACAGTCACTGGATCCTAAAATAAATCATTAAAACATTTATTAACATGTTTTCCTGTCACCTGTCATCTCTATTTTGCCCTTTATTGAATCAGGTATTTTCTATGTTGTAGAAATATTATTATGATCCAAGACAAAAGGTAATTTAATAAATTATTAATTATAATACCTAATAGAA